CGTCTCTTGTTGTCGGTCGGGGTTGAATAACAAGCTTTTAGCAGAATTAAATGAATTAAGTAACTTGACTTCCAATGGATGCTTTGAACAAGACTTCAGACCCATGCAGGTCTAGGTGCACTCACGAAAGAAGAGCTTGAAGATGCTTTAGACACACACCAGATGTCGGCGGAAGAGAGGGCACAGCGACTCGATCAGTGGGCCCAAGCAAGGGCAGAAAAACTTCGTGGCGAACATGCAACGTATTTGTTGCTGCGAAAGGGCATCCTTGTATGTTTAACTCTCTTGTACATTGCTTGCTCTGTACTACTTCCTTATTTGCACAGGGGTGAGGCGAGCTGCTCTCATGGCTTTTTCTGGGAAACTCACATGCAGTTCCTTGGCATTTTTCTGCTCACCAAATGTGCTGAGCTTGTTCTCATGGTGCACGATGACACTGTTTCATGGGAGCAGATTCGAGTAGTGGACTTTCTTCTAAAGTTTTTGCCCTCATTTCTTGGATATTTGGATGGCTACACCGACGCCACAGCCGTCTTTATTGCGGCATCTTGCAATGACACCTTGGCGCAGAGACTGGCTGATGCTATGGGCATAGCATATTTGGTTGGGGTTTGTTTCTTCCAGTGGGTTGTGATGTTCATCCTCTCTGCCAATGATCCTTCACATGCATGCCTTTTGAAGCTTCTCCACATGGATTTGCTGGCTTCATGCGTGACACTGCCAGCCGGGCAACGATGGGTGTGGGATTTGCTGGCGGCCGTCCGTACCATCGGGGAAGACATGCCTCAAGCCATTCTGCAAACCATCTACCTGGTCAAGGTGCAGCGGAACTTCTTCATGTTGCTCTCTGTGATCATGGCGGTTTGTGCCTCTTTGAAGGCCATGCATGACGCTCGTGCAAGAGCTTTGGCTGCTGCTGGTGCGGATGAGGAGTACAACAGACGGGAGCGTGACTTCATGATCTATAGTGGCTCCCAGGATGCAACAATCAAATGTTGGAACGCGTCTTGGTTTGCAACCAGTTCCACGTACAGTACAGTGTGTCAAAACGTAGCTTCAACATGTGTCAATTTGCTTGCCCTGATTTTGCTTTTAAGATCTTTTAAGTGCATTCTTCGGCAAGACCACACGATCAAGGTCAAAGACGGCGTGTGCATGAAAAGCATCTATGCAGGCAGCCCTGCCAATACTGTAGCGGCCTCCAACGGCATGCTTTACACTTCCCATGATAATGATGTCATCCGTGAATGGTCCTTGGAGACTGGCGAGGAGGTGCGCACTTTTTACCATGAAGGCGGCAATGCAGTTGTTCTCAGCACAACAAAATACTTGTTTTCTTGGGCTATGGGCCCGCGATGTGTCTACAAAATGTGGTCACTCGAGTCAGGGGAATGCTTGCAAGAGTTCCCAGCGCCAGACATGTTCAAGGCCACACTTGCTGTTAGAGGAGAGTTTCTCTTCGCAACATCTGCAGAGGATGACTCAGCAGTGTCGCAGTGGAACTTGACTTCAGGCGAACTCATGAACACATTTGGTGGTCACACGGATGAAATCAATGCACTTGTTGCGACACCCAAGAGGCTGTTGACGGGTTCGCAAGATGGCACCGCCAAAGAATGGTCTTTAGTGACCAACAAGTGCACTAGAAGCTTTGCAGATCACTCGTCACACTTTGTTGCCCCGCTGATTGTCGTGGCTGACAAGCTCTACAATGCATCTGATGAGCAGCCCGATATCAACGAGTGGTCCCTACTCACAGGGCAACTCTTAAGGCGATTTGCCGGCCACACACGGCCAGTGTTGAGCATTGTCATGCTGGAACAGAAGCTCTACAGCTCCGCCGAAGACCGCACCATCAAGGAGTGGTCCTTGATCACTGGCGCCTGTGAACAAACTTTCGAAGGCCATACAGATTACATCAGCAAAATCATCATTATGTGCAAGGATGACTAGAGTGATCAGATGATTAGCCAATTCACAGCGTGGAAATGACAAGCCATGCTTTGAACCCGGAACTCAAACTTTTTTGTTCGGCGTAACCTCATTCACAGCAAAGCTGCGAGTGAGGAGATGTGGCTGGTGCAGCTCGTTACACATATGAGTTGCATCATCACGCATTTGATCGCACTGCTCGAGAAACAGACCTGCACGATCGTCCTGTGATCCGGGTGAGGATTGCGCTGTAACTCTAAGCCATTGAGTGTCATCCAGACAACATTCTTTAGACATGTTAGGAGTTGCATGCCGGTGGTATTTCGCAAAGTCCCCAAGGTGCTTTGCTAGGACATAGTGATTTTGCCGTGTGGGTGGCAGTGGCAGCTGAATCGCGACAGGAGAGGAAGTAGAAAGTCGTGATCATATTAAGTCGTAGTAGTCATTGTAGTCGCCGTCCTCGTCCTTGTAGTTGTAGCCGGCATCGTCCTCGTCGTCGTAGCCTTAGTGAAAGCAGCAGGAATAACCGTGGGGGTGGGAGCCGCAGTGGTGCTAGTGACAGCAGCTGCAGGCAGCAGCAGCACAAATGGTTTTGCAGTTTTTATTGCTACTCATTAGCTTTGGTCAGGAGGCAGCTCATACTAAACTCTCAGCCGCGCCCAAACATTTTACCATGAACATTACTTGTTGGAAATTGTGGGATGTTTGATTTTGCTGCGGTGACCGTTTTTTCCTCAGTTTCTAGCTCAAACGCTTTGGACACATCCGCCCGGCGAATGGATAAGAAGGTGCACCGCCTTCGGCATGCCCCGACCCTGAGCCCGTGTTATCACTTGATTCACACTCAGATGGACAGTTTGCACACGTTAAAGTAGTGCAAACTGCTGTTTGGAGCTTGAAACTCTAAGGAGGTCGGACCTGGGCTGACATTTGATGTCCAACTTTGACAAAGTAAATCCAGGAGCTGTCTTTCAGGCGGGAGGAGATGAACATTTGTGATGAACATGATGTGTGGCCGTAGCTTATAGGACTAGACATAACTAAAATAACTAAAACATAATCTGCCAGGCTGAGTGGGCCAAATGGCAGAAGCAGCTGCGGGAGTGGCGCCAGTCATATGATGCACCTGGGAACAATCATGAAGAGTAGAGTTGCAGTTTAAGACCTGCAAGAGAAGGCGTGTGACAATCTATGACGGATGAGAGGGGTTACAGGTGCTTTTTGCGTGTAAAAATGTGTAAAAACAACTATATGGATATATGATATGCATAATATTACATAATTACACATCTCTCTCTATATATACATATTTGATTCAACAATTATACATATATATATATACAGTATATATATCAAGTGTGTATTACAATCAAATGTTGAAGTCGTGGCGATGTCGCGTTTGGTAGGAGAGAAGACAAGACAGCGGCAAACAAAACGCCGTTCGCACGGGCAAACAAGTGGGGAGACAGGTCGGGAAACAAGTAAGGAGAAAAGGCGGCAACGGCAGACAAAACCCCAATTACAGCAGACTAGCAGTCACGAAAGAAAGAAAGGGGATGTGCGCATATACATGATGAGGATTGATGAGGTAACTAGAGGTGTTCATTCTGAGGGTGACCTCGTTCACCCTCTCGTTCACCCTCGTTCCGATACCTTTGTGCAACTTGTGTGACCTAAGAATTTTCCAAGGAGCCTGGTCCAAAGAGATGTCAGGGGACCACGCGGAGATTCTTAGATCATTGCTAAACCATTGTGTTTCCATGCAAGAAGCTTGTTGTGAAAACATGACAGTTGTGCTGGGGAAGGAACTTCAGAACACATCCAAAACATTGCCAAACCATTCCACTTCCATGCGGGGAGCTGGTTTTTGCAAGGGCTATGCCGGCACCCCCCTCCTGGAGTCGCGTTTTCGTGGCGGAACACATTTGTTCCTACTATGCCATGACTTCCGCGGTCGAGTGTATATAGTTATTCGCAGTTATGTATACAAAATAAACATCGATTTCGGGATGTCTCCGATTTCGCATTGACGTTCACGACTTTCACCAGTTTGCCTCCTGACTCCAATATACCCACTAATACAGGGAAAGCTCCATTGGAAACCCCATCCAAGAAGTGTCTCCGGCTTCATCCAGTTGACCCGCTGTGCCGACTTAATTTTAGAAGACTTCTGCATGCTTATCCGTGTGGAGACTTTTCTTAGGAGTGGCGCCAAGTCATCCAACAGCTACAGGAGTGGGATGAAAAGGTGGGGCCTAAGAGAGCTTGTTTAGAGTTTAGCGTTTGCAAGCCCTACTAGTTCAAATTTAGGAACCACATGAATAGTGTGAACGCTTCTTCAAAGAAATTCCAGTGGAAATTCCACCCGCCGCCCTAAAGGCTGCGGGTGGGGTTTCCTTGAAGAAACGTGAACTATCCTGTGTCATCCTGTGTCCATGTTACTAGTGGCTTAAGCAATGTACGAGCTACCTCTCCCTACTTAATTAAGTAGGGAGAGGGGGGAGCGGGCTAAAAAAATGAAAAAACATTTTTGACATAATAACCCTGCCAACTGCATCAGGAAAGCAAAGGCGTGCATGGCCAGCTGGCCTCCATAGATCCCAATTTGGATGTTTTTGCCATTGACAACATTATGGACATCGGCGAGGGTGAGCCGCTCTTTGGAAGCTTTGAATATGAGGACCACAAATTTGTCCTTTGATGTGCTGCTAGGTTTTGTACAGCATGCATGGCTCATTGGCATGGCGGCATAGCCTTTTGGCAATCATAGTTCGTTGGAGGACTGGCTGCTTCTCAGCACCAAGGTGGGGTACTGTTCCAAGTTAATTGTGTCAACATGCCTGGCAGTTATTGTTACTGTGACGGCAAAGATCAGCGGGTCTCGACTGCAATTGTATTGTTCTCATCAGAGCCCTTTTTGAGGTGGAGCTTCACTTACTGGTGCACCACTTTCGGGATGATACCGGTGGAGCAGTTCTGGATGAGAAGCTCGGATTCGTACATATGTAATATTGCATGAGTTGCAGACATCCAGCATCATCCAGCATCATCCAGCACACCTGTAATGCAATTTCTTTCGAGGTCCAACCTTCAACATTACTACAAGACGTACTTTCGGCGCGAGCTGAAACTTGATGACTTCGCGGTAGGATACTCAGAACATCTCAGGGCAGCGAGCCGAGCCTCTCAGATCCAGTTTTAATTTGCCCTGGCCTTTTTTCCTGTTGCCTAGGCAAAGTCTGCAGCCGAAGTCATTGAACTGGTCCAGGAGTTGTAGATACTGTAAGGGAACAGGAAAGTCACAAGATTACTGTAATTATTGTAGCTGATATAGCTAATGTGTTTGGAACTTGTGGTGTTTAGGCTAGGGGTCCAGCATGTCATTCATTTGATTTCTCGGATTCCTCTGTCAAGCTTCAGTTCAGGAAACACCTTTGTTTTTGTCCTTATTCCCTGGGGGTTGATATATCACGATGATTTATTATCGATTTCCCCAGCAAAGCACAAATTCACTGGAGGACTGGAGGAATGAAAAAGGGCCGTGGCATGAACTTAATCACCCGAATGGTTTCTCGCGAATGACATTGCAGGGGAAAGTAGCACGAGACACAGAGGATAGCGATCAGTCGATACTTCGTTTGGTTGTGTACATGTTTGATGAACACGACGCTAAAAATTGAAGAATAACAGTCTGCTTTGGTACAGCCACTGCCACCAGTTGCTATGCCACTATGCATAGTTGTTGGATGGCAGGATTCGGTTTGCATTGAAAATGCCCTGTTGGACTACAAGCTGCCTGAAGACACGCCCTTCGTGCATTTCTTGCGGCTTGTCATGTGGGTTTGAAGCTAACCAGTATTCAAGAAAGTTGAATTATGCCATGCTCATTTTGAGAACTTGCAGAGTTTCTTGTTGTTTCCTGTCCAAGCTCGCAGTCTTGACTTGAGCACCTTGAGCCGAGGAAGATGACAGAGCCTTTTGGCACAAAGTTGAGAGATTTACTTCTTGTGCATTGCAGTGCACTTCCGTACGCACGGCACCTGTTTTCATGCCATAACCCTTAAAATCAATAACATTGACATATATATATATATTTCAGTATTGTTTACCTTGACCTTGGTTTTACTCCGTTTTTAAGGCAAAAATAACTAGACGACGGGTGGCCCGAGAGCGAGACATGTGATTGTCCAGTACTGTGGAAAAGATATCGATAAAGAAAGAAAGAAAGAAAGGATGGACGTGAAGGAGTGACAGTGTGGATGCGCAGGTGTCATACAGATGTGTAGATGTATGGAGGTGGAGAGGTAGATCTGTGGATGCGAGCGTGCAAAGACGTAAATGGACAGAGGCGAGAGAAAAGATATATCTTAGATTCGTAAGAAGTCAGTCGCTCTTCAAACGGCTCAAGACAAGTCAGTCTCATTTCAAGACAAAAACGAAGTAAACCGTCAGCACGTCGAAGCGCACACAAAATGGATTTGTGTGTGCTTCATCCTGGTCCCAAAAACAAGCGGCGAGTAGATATCCTGCGAGCAGAGGCTCAAAGCAAATCAGTTTGACTTCAAGTATCAGACACAGAGAAAGTACGCGGTAAGTGTGCTTCAAGTCATCATCTCCACTCTCGCGGATAGGCCCTTCAAAGCACCAACACTGCGACCTGAGAGCAAACGACATTACGATCAGGACAAGCGACTCGTGCGTTCCAACTGCGCATCGATTGTCGCGCAGGTGAAGTAGACACATATCAACGTCACGTCCCTTTTTCCGGCAGTCGCGGATCCCGTCGTCTAAGCGATGATGTCGCAGTTTCGTCCCGAACGGTCTCGACGGACGACCCGCGACACAAATTAGTCTCGGTGTGCAGCGCTGAAGTCTCTCTGCCATTCCGAGAAGGTTGCGGAGGTAGATCTGCGGCGTTTCGTGCGAGACTTCTTCCACAAATGAAGCACCAAGTCTCCAAAACCAGCATTTCCTACGAGACTTCCTCCAAACGTGAAGCGCCAAGTCTCCAAAACGAGCGTTGCGTGCGAGACTTCCTCCAACAGTGGAGCGCGACTAATCCAAAACGCCCTTTCACCTGCATTTCCCGCACTCGACACGCACGATCTCCGCAGAGGGTTGCGCCGGACCGGGCCGTTAACGCACTCTCGCCTGCATTTCGCGCGCTCGATGCGCAGAGGGTTGCCCGCGACCGCGACAAATCGCACTCTCGCCTGTATTTCGCGCAGTCGACACGCACGATCCCCGCGGAGGGTTGTCCCGGACCGGGGCAAATCGCACTCTCGCCTGCATTTCGTGCAGTCGACACGCACGATTTCCGCAGAGGGTTGTCCCGGATCGGGGCAAATCCCACTCTTGCCTGCATTTCGCCCGATCGACGCGCACGATCTCCGCAGAGGGTTGTCCCGGACCGGGGCACATCGCACTCTCGGCCCTCGGCTGCATTTCGCGCAGTCGACACGCACGATCCCCGCAGAGGGTTGTCCCGGACTGGGGCAACTCGCACTCTCGCCTGCATTTCGCGCACTCGACACGCACGATCTCGGCAGAGGGTTGTCCCGGACCGGGACAAATCGCACTCTCGCCTGCATTTCGCGCACTCGACCCGCACGATCTCCGCAGAGGGTTGCCCGCGACAAAGCCAAATCGCACTCTCGCCTGCATTTCGCGCACTCGACACGCACGATC